CTATAGGCCTATTATTTAAAAAATATAATTATTTGATATTTGACTCTATGCAAATGCAGAAATTAAAAAAAAAAATATTGACAGTATAATAAATCTCTATATGGCATGCATTAAAAAATGAGGCCTTAAAAATGATTTGAGGTATGATGAATTGAGCAGGCCTAAATAGTATATTATTACTTCATCTTTATAAAATAGTTTAAAAACATTAAAAAATAAAAGTGTTGTTTAGAAATTAGGAATGCAACAGACTGATAAAATAATCAGACAGAACTTAAGCATATTAAAATATAAATAAAATAAAATTAATAATAGTTAAACTATTTATCATTGCCTCATACATAGACTCTAGGCATCTCTTGGTTAAGAAGCGGGGCACTATTCTCCTTAAAAAGTACTATTTTCCTCAAAAATAGTACTTTTTTGACCTGTCGCGATATGCAAACTCTAGGCCCCCTACATCGCGCTGCACTGCTGACTGTTTTAAGGGTTGGGGGGGGGGGGACTGCGACCTCTACGACGAGATTAGCGCCTGGACGCGATTTTTGTTTCGTACGAAGCATTTACATGAAACTCCACTCGGGCCGTCTCGGCTGAATCGACCCGAAAATCTTATTGCAGAATTTAGGAGGTCAAAAGGTCATCAACAGATAATCGTCTACAAAACAACTTCAGATGAGAGAACGCGTTCGCTGTCTACCTTTTAAAAATACATTGATGTTACCATGTTGATACCAATGGGTCGTTTAAAATGACATATAATATTTGATTAAGCTGCACGAGTAATGAAAAGTGTTATTTTAACTTGAGTTACATACTATGACAATTTTAATTTTTTAGTTAGGCCTGGGTTTTGCATAATTAAAGGCCTACTAAGTACTAAAAACGCTTTCTGGAAAAAGCACAAAGAGTAAGGAAAAGCGCGTTTTTCTTCATCACTGGTCAAATGAAACAGGGTGACATTTATTTTCAAATTAAGAGAAGAGCTGAGAATAGGCAGCTCTAAAATACTGGATGCCATAAGACCTGCCAAAATGGCAGAGCACCAAAATTAATGTAAAAATGAGCTATTTATTACTATTAGGCATACTAATCGGCAGGTTCTTGATTACAAGGCTAGACCAAGTTAGTTACATGTAATGCCGAAATGATTATTATTATTATTATTATTATTATTATTATTATTATTATTATTATTATTGTTATTAATTATTATTACCTGTACGTTAAGGAGAACTTCAGACAATGGAGGAATTAGAGAGCAGTTTAAAAAACGACGTTAAGGGGAGTAACACAAAAGATATTCCCCTTGGGCTAGTTATTATTTATAGGCCTAGTAAATAGTATTTGTAGGTTCTTCATTGCAAGCCTTAGGCCAAGGTAATTATGCTGAAATTATTATTATTATTATTATTATTATTTATTATTATTATTGTTACCTGCACCTTAAGGGAAACTTAGACAATGGAGGAATTAGAGAACAATTAAAAAAAAACGACGTTAAGGGGAAATAACACAAAAGATATTCCCCTTGGGCGATTATTATTTATAAATAGTATGGTATCTGTAGGTTCTTCATTACAAGGCTTAAGCCAAGGTAATCATTGCTGAAATGATTATTATTATTATTATTATCATTATTATTATTATTATTATTATTTAACATTAATTACATTACAATGAGTTTGGACAAGTTCAATAACGCCGGAATGGTATATTATTTATTTAATAATATTTCTCTTATGCGCTCTATTTTTCATTTCATGCTTCAATTTTGTCCTATTTTTTCCCCCAAAATGTCAGTCAATGTCAGTATGTTGATGTCAGCCTATGACCCTAGGCCTAGTTTAACTTAAACTTTAAGGAGGGGCCTAGGTAAGACCTCAGCCTGTTGGGCCTCTTTCTCTCTCCTTTGGTATTACTGTACCTATCTACACTTTATAACAGGAGGTACTAGCTGTTGTTGTTGTTGTAGATAATATACTAACATTTAATAACATCCAAGAAGGTGTTAGTTACACACGTACATCCCATTAAGTACGTGAGATTTCATAGGCCTACCGTAGGAAAACATAGAAAGAGCAATAATAGTAAAACTCGAGCGTCACGATATTGCGAAGTATCTGCTCTTGTTCCTCGTATCGTACTCACTCGAGTCAATCCGAGTTGGCCCGAGTGAAGTTTCATGCAAATGTTTCTTACGGGAAAAAAATCGCCCCCTGGACAGCGTCACGGATCAGCGAGTAGACGATAAACAAATGGAGGCTGCTCGTTTCGAGATGAAAGAGGACTCTAGGCCTAGGCCTCGTAGCATTACACTTTTTTTTTATAAGAACCAGTAAAATTTAGCTCAGACTCAGTGTTCTTATTTTTTGGCCGATTTCAGGCTCAAAATGTTCTTATTTCTTAAAGCCCCATTCCCGGCAAAATTTCAATTTTTAAGAAAAATCTAATTTTTGTATAATGTTATAAAGATTTAGAAATATAATACGGAATTGCTAGTTTAACTGAATTTAGACATTCCTAAGAATGAAAA